GGGTTTTGCCATGGCTTTTCTGGGGCTGAGAGAGTGTGCATGCATACAGTTTTTAATTTTTTAAATTAGTTTTAATTTATTTATTTGTTTGTTTGTTTGTTTGTGTTTGTTGCTTCGGCCGCCCCCCAATTGTCTGAGGGACAGCAACCCGGCTCCTGGCTCAAAAAGGTTGCCTACCCCTGCTCTAGATGATGGTGGATAACAAACACTTTTCTAGTAAATATTGTAGTACAATATAGCCAACACAGCATGGGCCGCCCCAGGAAGCTGCGCCGCGGGACCAAGGCATCCCCATGCCTCGGTCCCGTGGCATAGCTGTGCCGCCCCTAAAAGGAGCGCTAAATTGGCGCTCCTTTCACAAGTAGACGAAGGTGCGCCGCAAAAGGCTGCGGTGCACCTTTGTCGACTTTTTCGCTGCAACGTGTGCAAATGCTGCGGCGGGAGGTCCTCCTTGGAGCGCCGGTCGTGCGGAGGGCCGGCTGCTCCGAGGACGACCTGGGGAAGGGGTTGGGGCACCGATCGTGCGGCTGCCCCTCCCCTTCCCTGCCCCCAAGACGGCCCTTTAAGCCGTCTGCTTAGGGGGCTAGTTTCAATTCCCAGCTTGACCATGAAATCCACTGAGTGATCCTGGGCAAGTCATAAGCTCTTAGCCTCAGGGGCAGGCAATGACAAGCCTCCTCTGAACAAATCGTGTGATGGAGTTTATCACACGGGGGAAATCCCATGTGGAAACGGGGCTTTAAATTGGAAAAAACCGCAAAAGCATTTAGATTTTTAGATGATGTGCTGTTAAAATGGAGTTAAAATGAGGTTAATCCGAATGGAAACTCGTCAAAAACTGCTTTTTTTTACTTTCAGGATTTTTACTTTCGGGATTACTGATGTGAGCTTCTTTTTTTCAGTTAAGTTTCAAAGATCCCTTTGCACTCTGGTTCCCCAAATGAACACGACTATGTCTTTGAATAACAATAATGATAGTATGTAAAGGAATCTTGTAGCCCCTTTGAGACTCACTGAAAAAAAGAACTAACTGTTTGACAGTGGAATACGCTGCATCAGAGTGTGGTGGAGTCTCCTTCTTTGGAAGATTTTAAATAGAGGCTGGATGGCCATTTGTTGGGAGTGCTTTGACTGTATATTCTTGCAAAGCAGGAGGTTGGAGTGGATGGCTCTTGAGGTCTCTTCCAACTCTATGATTCTAAAGAAGTTGGCAAATGAGCTTTTGTACACTTGAGCCTCCTTCAACTCATACAAGGAACAAGTCTGAAAGAAAGAAGCTAGGAACATGAGCTTTTGTCACCTTGAGCCTACTTCAGCTCATGAATCTAAGGAGGCTCAAGTTGGAAAGAAAGACATTGGAAGCATGTGCTTTTCCTAGACTTGAGCCTACTTCAGCTCATGCATCTGAGGAACTAGGATCAAGCCAGAAAGAAAGAGCTTTCGTAGACTTGAGTCTATTTCACCTCTTGCATCTGAGAAAGTAAACTCAAGAAAGAAAGATATTGGGAGCATGAGTTTTTGTAGACTTGAGCCTACTTTAGTTCATGCATCTGAGAAAGTAGTAGACTCAAGCCTGAAAGAAAGAAGTTGGGTACATGAGCTTTTGTAGACTTAAGTCTACTTCAGCTCATTCATCTGACGAAGTAAACTCAAGAAAGAAAGACATTGGGAAGCAAGCTCAAGTGTGAAAGAAAGAAGTTGGGTGTATGTGCTTTCCTAGACTGGAGCCTCACTCCCTCAGATGCATGAGCTGAAGTAGGCTCAAGTCTACATGCTCCCAACTTCTTTCTTTCAGTGAGTCTCAAAGGGGCTACAAGATCCCTTGCCATACTCCTTCCCCAGATGGACACAGCTCGGTCTAACAACAGTAATAAATAATAGCAGTAGCAAGATGACGATGGTGGTGGTGGTGGTGGTGATGATGATGATGAAGGCGATGGCGATCA